TTGATTTATCATCTATATATATATATAATGGATTTTAGGACTTTTTTTTAATACCCACATATCTCAAGTTTTGTTCAGACTTTTTGATTTAAATATTTTGGTGGTGGCATAATTTGTTTTGATGATCTTGGGAACGTCATTACGAATTCCCCAAAAACCCAAAATGAATTAACTTGAAAGCTAAAGTCATGTGATTGTTGTGCATTATTTTAAGTCTTCTTGTGCATTAATGTTGCTGTCGGACAAGTCTAGCAAATCGATTAATGTTGGCTGTTTCAAGTCGAAAGCATAACAAAAATGGTTGTATGTAAGTTACTCGTACAATGAGAAACTCATGATTCTACACATTCAACATATTCCATAAAAAATGAGTGAAATATGTTAAGAATGACTTTTTCAAAATTTTGTTTTATGTTAAGAAGACCTAAGACCGCTTTATGATTTTTAAGGATGGGTGATCCATGAATTAAGTGATAAAATGTCACTTAAAATTAGTGAAGTGAATATTACTTCATAAAAGAAGATGAGAGAACCACTGCAGTTATCTTTTTTAAGGTAATGATAAGTAGGTAATATTTCACCTCATTTTTAACAAAAAGATTAGAACTAGTAAACTTAAAGAAAACGTCGTGTCATTTGGATTTAATTTCCCTTGTGCGATGAAATTACAACAAAATTTTTAATGATAAAAAGAAATTATTATGTTCATTAGATGAGAGGAGTAGCACCTAATGATGTCATGATAAAGTAAAGTAGATGTAAAACCCCTTGAAAAGTAGAATGTAGTTGAACTGTTGAACATTGAGATGTATTTTTGTATATTGGTTGGAATTTGATAAGAATTCCAAAGTTAAGCATGCTTGTGCGGGAGCACTGTTATGATAAGTGATCTCCTAGAATGTTACACTAATGAAACAAACCCAGGAGGTTATTTAGCCAATATAGACAATATCTCGATGAGTGAGAGCTTGAGTTATTACAAATGATATAAGAGAATTACACCAACCTGAACATGGAAACTAAGGATTTGTTTGGGGCAACTGCTGCTGTTTGAAGAAATAGCTGTGAAGCCGCTGTAGAAGAAATTGCTTTTCAAAAAGCTGTGGTGGCTATTATAAATTTATTTTATTTTTGAAAAGGTAGATCGCAATCATCTTACAACCACTACACTTTAACAACTCAGATTGAAAAAAAAAACAATTTTTTACCATAGAAATTTTTAAACAGTAGCAAGAAAACAGTTCCTCGTACAGAACTGTGGTGACAGTCTGAAAAGTAAAGCAGACATAAAGCCGTTCCAAATAGACCCTAAGGGCCTAATTGGGATCACTTTTTGTTTTTATTTATTTATTTATTGTCTGGTTTATTTTTGTTTGTTTTTTATTTGCTGTTTTTAAAAAATTGGTTTGATAATATTATGATTTATATGTTTTTAAAAACAAAAATATATAAAACATGTTTGATTTTGTATTTTTTATTTTTTCAAAGAAAAAACTTATACTTTATATAAAACGGTTGAATCCATGTGTGCTCTAGTATTAAGCTCTGCTGCCTATGATGTATACGACTTGTTCTACCTAACACGAAACGTTGTTTGCGGGCGCGAGCCAGGCTAGCGACAGGAGGGGGCAAGGGTTGGAGGGGAGGGGGGGGAAGCTATTTTGGTGTTTTAAAAATCGGCAAAAGTATGCCTTTTTGTTTTTAGTATTTAAAAAATAGAAGTGTTCTCTCAAAAAATAAAAAACTGATAGACATTATTTTTATGTTTACTTTCTATTATTGTTTTCAAAAAATAAAAACAAAAAAAAAAAATTTGATCCCAAACAACGCCTTAAAGGTCATGCAAAACAATGTGCTACATCATAGGATGCACCTCTTGAATTTGTATGAGTTATCTCTTGAATCCTATGTACCTGGTGGATGATTCTATCTTAGGAAAACTGACATAGAGGTTAGTTATTTAAGTGGGGGATATTGTGAAACCCCTCAAATAAAATGAAGCCAAACTCTTAAATATCGGTGCATCTTTTGGTGTGAAGTTGGAATTTCATGAGAATCTTCATAGTTAAGTATGCTTGTGCTGGTGAGAATCCTAGAAAGTTGCACTAATGGGACAAAACCGTGAGCCCATTAGGTTAAATTGGATAATATCTTGATGGGTGAGAGTTTGGTCTATTGCAATAGATTTTTACAGGTATATGCATGAGAAGTTACACTAATAAGATAGATGCTAGAATTAATGTGTAAAGAAACTATCAGAAGAAGTTGCTAAATTACTTTCTTATATTAGAGTTTAAATCTCCTGCAGCATTCAAAATGGATGAATGAAGAAGGAGAATTCATAAATCCAACTCCTCGTGGTTGCGAATTAAGACAAAGCTAATGTTGATGATTATGATGAGCTTGTCAAAAAGCATTTTAATTATTGTCTTTTCTTCATTGTTACCTTTTGATTATTTTCTAACAAAAAAAATTTATGGAATGATATTAAGCTTGTAGATTATTTTAACTGCATATGAATACTTCATTGTCACCTTTTGATTATTTTCTTGAAAAAGAATTTATGGAATGATATTTAAGCTTGTAGATTATTTTAACTGCATGTGAATGCTTACATCTGTTTTTTATGTCTGCTTTTGATTTTTCCAGAGTTATAGCCGTGACCTATTTGTCTTTCTCTACCTTCTTCTCATCGTAGCATCTGCCATTACTTCTTTAAAAAAACACATAGACAAGTCAGCATTCTCAGGAAAGTCTATTCTTTACTTGAACCGGCATCAAACTGAAGAGTGGAAGGGATGGATGCAGGTTGGTACCTAAGTTTTTTTTTTTTGCTCTATTTTCTTATGAGCATTTGTTACCTATTGTTACCTACAAATGTTTGTTTCTTTTTACCTCATTCAAATGCGAAAATTATTTGAAACATTTATTTACTCCATACATTTACATGTTCTCACACTGATTTTTAGTTTCAGTTCATACTGCAAGTACGGGCCTTGAAACATGGGCATAAGGTTGTAACTCCCGAGTGGCGATCCTTAGAATGCTTTACGATAGTAGCATATTATCGTTGCGTACATTTTATCTATAAGCAACGAAGTATTTTTCACGCCTTTTTTTGGATAGTTATATTGCAATGAAATTGGTAAAATACCTTCTTAAAATGAAACGTTGTTAACTGCACTTTACTTTTTACATGAACCCAATTGGAGTCCCGTAGCATGTCTGAAGATGCAGGAGTTTTCCATGATGGGGAATTGACGATGTTTTTTATGTGCTGGGATTGGCATAGTTTGTGACTTTTTGGGCCAACATCAAGAGATTGAGATTTCGAGTTCACTGGGGTATTTGAAGTTAGGCACCCCAGTGGTCTGTTTTACTTGCTTTCTTAACTTCTCTGCCACATTTTAATCTAGGGACTAACCCAATTTCGATATACTTATGTACCTAACACCCAAATTTTATTTTTAACATTTATGCCACTCAAATCATTTATATCACATCAAAATTATCATTATTTTAACTTTTAAAAAGTGGAATACACCTTTTCCTGCTTGGTTAAGGTGGTATGTATTTAAAAATTGAAGTTTAGGTGTTAGATATGTAAATACATAGGAATTGAGTGGTTATGTATGTAAATCTTCCTTTATTCTGATATGAACATGACATACATAGCATGGGCTGTAGTTCTCATTAATGTCTGGTTTGCTTTTATCTATTAAGGTTTGCAAGCTTGATTGTGCAGGTATACTGTTACTTGGCAGTGTTATCAGCTATCATATTTTGTGTTTTTCGTATGGTAGCTTGCAGTTTGAAATTTACTGCAGTGCTGCCTCTAAAAATTAATGAATTTCGGATAGGGTTGGTATTACTTCTTGATAGTTAGTACTTCTTTATTCGGTAGCTAATCGTGGGCAGTTAAAATGGTTATGACAAAGAAATGTCTCTAACGTACTATATGATAACATAATATCATAGAAGTTAAAAAAGATCTTTGTTAGACTATTAATGCCATTTATTGGGGTTTTGAGATGAAGAGTTCAGTTGTAGTGATGTTCTCATAGGGATATGTTTGGTGAGCGAATCCAAGAAGCATCATCCGTTGTAAGAGTTTATTTAGGAGAAAAAGTCTTTTTTTTTATTTTACTCATTTAAGTTGCATGTGTCCCTTATTAATTCTTGTCCAGTTTTAGGTGCTTTATTTCTTGGTCTTCATTTATGTTGGCTTGAGTTTTCCTAGATGAGAAGAGGTTGTTTGGACCGTGGAATAGACATTACTCTAATGTGAGATGAGATTATTTATTTTTATCATGCGCTTTTTTATTCTTACTAAGTTTAGTGATTTTATTGTTCATACAGAAGTGCATTGTTAGAAGTGTTGATTTTAATTGTATTGCTCTAATTTAAACTTGAAGATTATAGGAAATTCCAGCTGATTATTAAACTAGTGTCCAATGGCTTAGCCTTGGCAATATTTTGATTGGTTTTCCATCACAGGACTTGTGCCTGAAACTTTGGCTCACTCAACTTAAAAGTTTTTCTTGGATTGACATAACAATGAACATATGCAATGCATGTGCATAAATCATAAAGTATCAAGTGACACTGAACTAGAGCAACTAGTCAGTGTGGGAATGTTAGAAAAGGGTTAGGAGGTTTTTGTAGGATGAGAAATAGAAGAGTAATCATCAAAATCTGCTGTTGGACAGAAAATTGGAGCTGTTAGGCTGCTGTCTGACCAGAAAACAGCTAGGCAAACGAGGAAACAATGAGGTATGGATGAGGGGTTCCACCACTTGCTCTCTTCTATATACAAATTCACCACTTGAAGAAAAATCAACTATAGCTTGCCAAACAGAAAACAGGGAGAAAAGTCTCCAAATAACATCAACCAAGTATAAATCCTTCAAAACAGGAAATATAACATATAAATAGTCTCATAATAAAAAAATAAACCTAATTAGATTTTTAATAATATAGAAAAATGGGACCCACATGTCTGGCAGCAATTCCGGAGTGTGAAAGTCCCGCTACAGGACTACTAGGACTGAATCCAACCTGGTTCCCGTGGTGTAAAATATTCCTGTTCTGTGTCATCAAGCAACCGTTTCTGTGGTTTGGCATGATTACCATGCCCGTTAAAAAGCAGAGCCCTCATCCACTCCAGACTTACAGCCTAAACAAAGTGCCAGACCCATATTTCATCAACTGATCAGCTTGGAAAGGCAGGGAACTTTTAATGACTATCAACATTTGATTTATCATCTATTGAACTTGGTAGACTTGAAAAATGATGATGACAGTTATGAATTATTTGTGAAATTCTGAAGTAGAAGCTATCAAAATGTGGACAGTAAGTAAAGCTTCAATTTTTCTTGTGTTAGCTTCCCCAAGGTGACTATTTGACCATCATTCATGCTTTAGTAATAGTTTAATGGAGCAAGGGTTAATCAAGTAAAAGAAATCTTATGTGGCCCCCTTTTAGGTACTTGTAGAAGTATATAATTGTTTCTCTTCTCACATCTTTCACTTTTCATGGTAATATTGAATGGCTAGATTGATAAGTTACCGTAAATGTTAGTATTTCAAATTTATGGTGACTGGTAAACATGTGTTAAAATAATTTTCTGTCCTTCAAATTGGATGATTTTCTCTCTCACTCACTCTTTGTTGAATTTACTTGGGCGAAAACTTAATTCTTCTAGTATTCACACAAATAGGGTATATATATATAGAGACACCGATCCCTCCTTATTTGCAAACTTTTTTTTCTTATTTGCAAACTTACCAAACATATCTCATCTAAATTAAGAAAAGAAATAATTCTGAATAAAAAAATAGGAAAGTCATAAAATAGGAAGGGAATAAATCAATTAAAGGTTTCTTAGGATATCCCAATCAAATCCTCCATGCTTTGGAGGTGGTGGCCAGTCCACATGAGAGAGGTAAAAACGGAAATGACCAAATCTTCTTATATTTCCACTCCCTCTCAAGTTGGGTCGTAGAAAGTGCTTAAAGAAAGAATTTTTGTGTGTCAGAATGTAGCTTAGCTGTAAAACTCTCCCATTGACCTTTTTAAAGATGAGGTGTCCATCAACTTCAATATGTTTGGTCTTGTTATAATGCACATAATTTATGACAATATTGATAGCTTCTTGAATGCCACAAAACATCTGTATAGACCTATTGGAAGAAAATCATAATTCCCTTAACAATTTCCAACTTTAGATCCCTTCACATATCTCGAAGGCAAGCTCCCTATACTCTTATGTTGCACTTCTTCTCGAAACAACTTATTTTTTACTTTTCCATGTAACCAGATTCTCCTATACATATGAGCAATAACCTGTGGTGGACCTTCTGTTTGTGAGTTCTTCTGCCTAACTAGCATCAATGTAGACTTCCACTTCTCTGTTTCTGGTTTTCTCAAAAAATTAAACTATAACTAGGAGTCTTCTTGAGAAATCTCAAAATCTCGTAAACCATCTCCAAATGCTCTTCATTTTGGCAAAATGTGTAAGATCGCAATATTGGCAAAGTATGAAATATATGGCCTAGTATGTGACAAATATGTGAGTTTTCCTATCAATCTTTAGTATTCTTCCTTATCTACATATATATTTTCTTCTTTCTTGTTGGACTGTTTGTTGGGTTCCATCGGACTATCAACAAGTTTGCATCCAATCATCTTTGTTTTATTTAACAGATCTAGGATGTATTTTCTCTGTGATATAAAAATCCCATTCTTAGATCTTGCTACCTCTACACCTAGAAAATATCTCATATTTCCTATGTCTTTGATTTCAAACTTAGTGTCTAGCACTTCTTTGATTTTAAATATTTTATGTTTATCATCACCGGTAAGAATCATATCACCTACACATATGATTAGTGCAACAATGTTATCTCCCTGATTGTATTTTATGAGTAATATGCAGCATAATTTTGACAATATCCCTTGGATTCATAGTTTTTGCAAATCTTTCAAACCACGCCCTTGGTGATTATTTAAGGCCATAGAGCGACTTTCTGAGGTTGCATACTATTCATTTATTGGAATCACTCTCAAATCCTGATGGAATCTCCATGTACGTTTCTTCTTCCAGCTTTTCATTCATGAAGACATTTTTTATGCCAAGTTGATGCAATTATCATTCCTTGTTAACTACTACTAAAAGAAAACTCTGATAGTATTTAGTTTAGCAACTGGTGCAAATGTCTTCTGATATCAATCCCATAAGCTTGTGTGAAACCTTTAGCAACAAATTTGGCTTTAAATCTTTCAAAACTTCCAACAACTTTGTATTTTTTGTTGAACACCTAATTGCATCCAATTAGCCTTATCCTGAGAGAGTTTAGTAAGAGTGCATGTGTCATTATATATTTAAATGCTCAAATTTCTTCTTCCATTGCTTTTATTCATTCTTAATTTTCAATAGCTTCATGAATGGATTTAAGAAATCAATGTTAGTATATATGCTTTATAGGTTGAGGATAGACATCCATAAACTACATACTTTTGAATTGGGTGACTGGTACAACCTTCCTTGTCATCAGCACCAGAAGAGGAAGTGGATAACTCACGAGTACTATACTCCTCACTCAAAATTTCAAGTACATGTTGACTCGGTTTTGGATAGAGCAATTTTGTCTTTGCAAATTGTTTTCCACCTACTCAAAGATTTTTCTTTCTCCTTGTGTACACGAAATTCTTTGTTGTGGACTTCTGGTTTGGTTGGTTGGATATCCTCAGCAAGAGTAAGGGAGTCAGGTGAAAAAGAGTTGGTAGGTTTATTGTGTAGATGTCATCAATTGCATCCCAAAATTGATGTTCATTTGACCTTTTCTCCTGAACATCAGATTTGGGATAGTATGATTGATTTTCAAAAATGTGGAGTTGTATTTTCTGATAATAGAAGAGTAACACTTATACCTCTTTTTGTTGGAGGCATACAAAAAAAATACACTTGACAGATCTAGGGTCAAGTTTGGTGTGGGTTGGGGAATGAATGTGAACAAAATATACATACCCAAAGATTTTAAATGATATAGTAGGAGAGAGTTTTGATGTGTGGATGGGTAACCATCAAAACATGAATTGGTGTTTTGAAGTTAAGTACCCAACTAAGTATTGGATTGATAAGGCATGTAACAGTACGAATTACTTCAAGTAAATGGATGTTCTTTCCCTCTTCTATCTTATTTTATTGTAGAGTGTCAATATATGAACTCACATGGATGATTTCATTTTTTGAGAGAAAAGACTCAAAGTTTGAATTGAAATATTCTTTTTCATTATCAATTTTGAGGATTTGAATTTTAAATTAAAATTGAGTTTGAATCATGTCATGAAAGATTTGTAAGAGTTGGATTTTTCCAGATCTTTGCTTCATTAGGAATACCCATGTAGTTCTAGTCCGATCGTCAATAAATGAAACAAGTCATCAGCCCCACTTATGGTTTTTGCATTTGAAAGTCCTTAAATAACACTGTGATTAATGGGAAAAAAAAGGTGTGAGAGTTTATACTAAGTGATGTGATAATTATTTCTAATGTGTTTGACAAGTGAACAATTCTCATATTAATAAAAATTAGGTTTTTGATTAAGAAAAAATTGTGGATACAACGTAGCAATATAATTAAAAGTAGGATGATCCAAAAGATAATACCATAGCATGACATTTTTTTCAACTGATATAGACTCAACATACTTAAAAATTTGAGGGGCATATAACAGTGGGATTGGTTGTGTTTAGAAAGATTTTTCGTGAGCAAATATAAGTTTTGATGCATTTCAACACTGCCATTCACCTTTCCCTAGTCGACCACCTAAAATTAACAAGTGTTTACAAGGAATTTAGTTATAGATTTCATATCATGAGTAAGTTTATTGATTGAAATCAAATTGCATTCTAATTGTCAAACATATAAAACAGATGAAAGAGTAATATCCTAAGAGAGCTACACATCCCCTTTCTTTGTAATTGTTAAGTGGGATTCATCTGCATGTCTTACTTATCTAGATGTAAAAACATGATAGTTTACTAGAGTAATGATTTCTTCTTCGGTCATATGATCAAAGGCTCCTAAATCTGTAATTCATGTTCTGAATCTTCCATTTTTGACAAGATGGGAGAATGATATATTACCTTAGTGTGTCATGAGGTTGGTGTGTTGCTCTAAATTATCTTCAAAGAGTTTCTTTTGTACTTAAAGTTATTCCTTTGTGAATGGTTCCTTCGATCCTTCAGATGCAACAGCAGCATGCCTTTTTCTCTTGATCCCTCCTTACCTACCCAAGTTTTCAGTCGGCTAGCTTTCCATGGAGTTTCCAATATATGTCTTTGATATGCACAGTCTTCTTGCAATAGTCACATGTGAGACGGTTCTTCTTGACCTTTGAGTTATGGGAAGAATTATGAGTGTACAAATCTAAACTTTCAATGCTTGGTGAACCCCCATTTCCAGTCAGCATCAGCTTCTTCCCGCTTTATTCTCTTCTAACTTTAGCAAAGGTTTCATGAGGAGATGGAAGAGGCTTGGCTCCCATGATCATCCCTCTCACCTCATCCACTTCCAGAGTTAGTTCTACTAGGAATTTGATTGTCCTCTTCTTCTCGATGATAGATTTAAATGTCACGACATCTTGTGGATATTTCCACACATGTTTCAAAACATATCCAACTGTTGCCAATATATTGACAGAGTGTTGAATTTTTGTGTGATGCTTAGCTCTCCTTGACGAAGAAAGTGTTCTCGATGTTGGAATATGTTCCTAGCAAAAAATTTTCTCTCACTTTAGTGGTCATTTAGTTCACTAGCCAAGACAACCTTATGGCATTTGACTCTTTCATGTGCAATGGTTGGAATTAGTGATATCAGGAATTGTGTCCTCTTTCGTGAGATGTTCCTCTTTCACTTTACGACAAATGCACATAAACACGGATTGAGACCATTGAAGGAAGTTATGACCATTGAGTTTATGATTTGTGATAAAGTTAGAGTTCAGATGTCGCTTGCACTGAATTCTTGGTCTCTGATTCAGAACTAATCTCCAGAGTAGAACTTGACGTCATGAATGCTCTGCGTATTTAGGGGTGCTGTTTTCAGGAAAAGAATGGATGAATGCTGCTGTTGTTGCCGCTTCTGTTTGTTTTGTTGCCTTGGCGGCGGCGGCGGCGGCGGCGGCGGCTGCTGCTGCTGTCCCGTGGTTGTTGATGCTTTCCGGTGGCAGTTGTTGGTGCTGGTAGGCAGGAAGATAGATGCCAAGATGGATTCCGGTGAAGGAGGGGCCTGCGGTAGGGAATTTCGGTTGCAGGGAAGAGATCTGGAGGCAAGGGAATATAGAGGAGAGCCTCTTGCAGAGAAATTCTTACTGTTATTGTTGTTGTTGTTGTTTGCTGCTGTCTGGTGGCTGTTGCTGCTTCTTGCTGCTGCCGTTGCTAGTAGGCAAGTAGATAGATACCAAGATTGATTTCGGTGAAGTAGGGTCTTCAACATGGAATTTCGGTTGCAGGGAAGGGATCTGGAGGCAAAGGAATACAGAGAAGGGCCTGCTGAAGGGATATTTAAGCAGCATGGAGGAGTTTTGGTGGAGGGCCTGCAACTAGTAAATTCCAGTGACAGGGATGACTTCCGGTGGCTCAGGAAACCAGAGGAGGGCCAAAAAGTGAGCCTGTGATATGCAGGAAAAGATTCCGGAGAGGGCCTGCAAACTGCAGATGAGCGCCGGCTGCAGCGAAGAGCAGATTTTTGGCAGCCTGCAGGGGTTCCGGCGGTTGTTGGTCCAGTGAGTGCTTGCAACCTGCGAAAAGAGTGTCAGCTGCAGGGAAGAGGACTGGCTGCAGGAAAGAGGAGCTTTCCTGCACCTTGCAGGGGTTCCAGCGGCTGTTGGAGGAGTTCAAGCTAGGGTTTTGGCTCTGCTACCCTATTAAATTTACTTGGGAAGGAAACTTGCTACTTTCATTATTCACACAAATATGACACATATATATGGGGAAATCAATTCCTCCTTATTTGTAGACTTTCCAAACATAGGAAAGGAAATACCAAATAAAAAATAGGAAATACATAAAATAGGAAGGGAATGAACCAATCAAAGGTTTCATAAAATATCCTAATGAAATTCTCCAAGATCTGGAGAGCTAGAGGTAAATATGGAAAGGAGCAAATCATCTCAGATCCACACACACACACACCCTCTCTCTCTCTTTCTCAACTTGGGTTAATTATATGGTTAGAAAGAATGGTTGTACTAGAAAAGTACCAAGTGAATATTATGTATTTATAAGTTGATTAAACGGCTAGAAATACTAATGGTAGTGACATGAAACCAAATGGCTTTATAAGTTTTGTTATAAAGGCATATCCCTGCTTGTCTCCCATTTGTTTTTCTCTACCTAAAAATCGTCTTATTTCCTTCAATGCTTTTCTAAATGTATAAAGTGAAGGAGAAAGAAAGGATTTCAACAATGTTCCTTGCGGTATTTTGTTTTCGATAATGTGTGGTAACAAAAGAGGATCACCTAACTAAATGAAAAGAACTTGGAAGGTTGATAAATATTTAATGGAAAAAAATAGCAGAAATAATTAACCATTTCATTTTGATGCTTGGACGGGCTGAGCATGAACCTACTTAATATTTTACCTGTGATTATTCATTTTGCTATTTCTCTCAAGAAATTTAGGAAGTCAAATTTTAAATTAATTTGTTCAGTTTACACAGTACCTTAGTTGGGATGAGAAAATATAACCAACATCCCAAATGGTTATCAATGGGTGCCCTACCAAGACTATGAATTGTTCTTAGAAGAAAATGAAATTATCCTTATTTTTGACATGATCATCGGTAACATTCATAATTCCTTAATTTTGCAATCAAATGTCCTCATGCGTCAGAATAATTCCAATCATTGATATCACTTTTTCCAATCTTTACAAGGTTTTATTTTTGATGTACCACTATTTTGCGGCCACGGAGATGTACAATGCAATACGTGTGTTCATTGCTGCTTATGTCTGGATGACTGGGTTTGGGAACTTCTCATACTATTATATAAGGAAGGACTTCAGCCTAGCTCGTTTTGCTCAGGTACCTATGGTTTTTATACTATCATATTTTAATATTTATGTTCTCGAAATTACTTTGTTTAACTGTAGTTATTGTCGTCAATTTTAATGTATGAAATGCAGATGATGTGGCGTTTAAATTTCTTTGTGATATTTTGTTGCCTCGTCCTCAACAATGATTACATGTTATATTACATCTGTCCAATGCACACGCTGTTCACACTCATGGTATACCTGACACTTGGTATCTTCAACAAATACAATGAGATTGGGTCAGTGATGGCTGTCAAAATCATCTCCTGTTTTTTGGTGGTGTTCTTGATATGGGAAGTTCCTGGAGTTTTTGATGTTTTTTGGAGCCCTTTCACCTTCTTCTTAGGTTAGTTTGTCAATCCTACAATGAGTAAATTGCCAAAATAATCCCCCAAGTATTTGCCTGGGTTCATTTGTCTCATAGTCTATAGAAGTGCCAAATTAGTCTCTAGACTGTTTTAATATGGGACTATTTCAGTACTCATTAAAGAGTCATCGCTTTAGCTTTCACTAAAAAGTCTGGGGACTAAATTGACACTTCTACATTTTGGGATTAAAATTAATCTCTATGAAGAGTCAAGGTGGATTTTTGACATGTTCCTAGTTCTGCAATGCCCTCTTTTGCTGTTAATAATCTTGGCGAGCTAAGGTTTACTTTTGCTTATTATTGGTTGCAGGGTACAAAGATCCAGAACCTTCCAAAGCAAACCTCCCTCTTTTGCATGAGTGGCACTTCAGATCCGGACTCGATCGCTACATCTGGATCATAGGAATGATATATGCATACTACCATCCAAGTGTGAGTTTCTGGAGCATAATATTTACTATATTGAGGTTTCTCATTGTAAAGTAAGCTTTTATTTAGTTATTTAATCCCCTTCATAACAGGTTGAGAGATGGATGGAAAAGATTGAAGAAGCTGAAGCCAAGCTCAGGTTTTCAATTAAAGCATGTATAGTTGCAGTTAGTTTGGTGGTAAGCCCCCATAATTCACTTTTAGTAAAGATCGTTTCTAAATATTTTTACAATGCAGTGCGTGTCTCACGAGTCCTATTTTTCTAGGTTGGTTTTTTGTGGTACGAGTACATCTACAAATTAGATAAAGTTAGTTACAATAAGTATCATCCTTATACATCTTGGATTCCCATCACGTAAGTGCCAAGTTTATTCAAGAAAAATATCCCTTTGTTAAATTTCCAGCTAATACTAATTTTTTTAATGCTTTTTAGTGTCTATATTTGCTTGCGAAATGCCACACAGCAATTGCGAAGTTATTCCTTGACCCTCTTTGCGTAAGTCAGCTTCTGGAATTTTGTTTTTATTTTTCCTTGAGTTTTCATTTTTTATCAGTTTGTTATCATCCTCATTTCATTATTATTATTATTATTTTCTGACATAGGTGGCTTGGCAAGATCACGCTGGAGACATACATCTCCCAGATACATATTTGGCTTCGGTGAGTGGGGACTAAAGATTTTTTAATTTTTTTTTTATTCATTTCATATAAACTTAATCAAATTGCTCCTCATGAGGAAAACCAAATAGTTGGGTATATTTGATTTAACATGTTGGTTTTGGTTAAATAAGCGGCCATTCTGGATCACTTTTAATTTATGTTTTTTTTTTAATTTATTTTATTTATATCTTATTTGAAATAAAATTGTCCGATAGTTAGAACATGTTGTTTTAAAAAATGTTTAGTTGCTTTAAATAGAAATATTAGTTGCTTTAAGAAGCACCCAAACTAAATTTTAAAATAAAATAAAAAATATACTAACAAACATGCTTTTAAAATAAAACAAAAACAAATAAAATAAAATAAAAAATAAAAGTGTTCCGAAACAAATCCTAAACTTAGAGATTATGGTGGATATTTTTGAAATAGTTTAATTACTGAGAAGAGAAGATTTGTTTATATAGAAAGAATCAAGGAAATATAGAGAAGATCATCCAAATGAATGGCTAAAAAAATTGAGGCAAGGGCTAGGAGAAAATAAGCACCAAACTTTAAAAGAGAATTAATTCCTTGATGATAAGTCAAAGGAAAGCTTTTGCTTTATTCCATTATTAATCATTTGAATTACAGTTGAAGGCCCTCTATGTATAATAATAGCTATAAATTTCTGTACTTCATAATCTTACAAATCATAATCCCATCCAAAATGATGACCAACTATTTTATCCTTTCATTATTTCTCCTTTCGAATTCCAGGTCAAGCAAACCAAATGGTCAACCCAAGTGGCTGCTTTCTTTTATTCCAAATTACCCACTGCTCAATTTCATGCTGACCACCACAATCTATCTATTTGTGAGTTACTAATCGAGACTGCAAAAAAATTTGAAAATGTTAGCTAAAGCTTCATACATATTTAACACACATTTATTGGCAGATATCGTATAGAGTCTTTGAGCTTACGAACACGTTAAAGAATGCTTTCCTTCCAACAAAGGACAACAAGCGCCTGCTGCAAAATTTTATTGCAGGGTCAGCTATCTGCATATGCTTGTATTTTTTCTCATTCGCTCTGCTCCTTATACCTACACCCACGGTATGTTTGCTCAATTAGCTGCAGTTTTTTTCTTAACTATTTTATTGTTATTATAATTTTGTTGATAAAATCATTAAAATGGTCTCCTGATTCTTTGAAAGAGCCATTTTAGCCTTGATGTCTATAACAGTGTTAATTTAGTCCATAGATTTTCTTAATAATGGCTGAAATGGTCTTCAGACTTTCTAAAGTTTGGCTATTTTAGCCCCGGTAAAAAAAGTTGAGGGATTAATTTAATATTTTTATAAACTCTGACTAAAATAACCTCATGAAAGTAATCAAGAGATCAGTTTGACACATTATTATTATTTTGTTCTTATTGACTGCTAATTTTATTTTCAGGCATAAACACTGAAATCCAAAATATTTGGAAAGAACTTTTCTTTTGGTACAAGGCATATGATTCCAGTTGATAAACTTGAGGGTGTGTGATTTGGCTGATTCTATAATCTTATCAGGAAAAACTTGAGAGATTTGTGTCAATCAATTTACCATTTTTGTGGAAGTATGGAAATGATGTCTTTTGGGAATGAGATGCCAGGTGCTATGGGTAGGGCTTTTTTATTTGGATGTAAATCATTTTTTTTTCTTCTTTTAATTCTTAAGAATGGTATCCTAGCATTATTATTATTATTATTATATATATATATATATATATATATA